GGAGGGCTATTGTTGAGCAGCTGGCAGAAGGCACGGGAAATCTCACACTCAGCTTTTTGCTCATTACTTGACTAATTGTTTGGTTTTACACATTGCTTTATTGGCTTATTTAACACACTCCATAAAATATTTGATGTAGACTTAAAATAAACATGGCAAGTTTTGTCAAAGCAGTGTTCATTTTGTATTATTTGGTAACACTTTACAATACAGTTCCATTTGTTAACACAAGTTAACTAAGATTGAACAATAATTCTACAGCATTTACTAATTTTAATTAATCTTAGTTTTATAAACAATTAGTTAAAGTGTTTATAAAACACATTGCGAAAAAACGTATTAAACACGTCGTTTTATGTTTTCCTGCTTCATATCAAACCCTTATAAAACATTGACATTAATCTGGGCCCTTTCCCACCTCACTGGGGTTTATATCTTATGCATTAAGCCATATAACATCATATTTGCTACCCACAGTGATATTTAAAAGTTTTCAAAGTTAATATAGAGTAAACACCCTAAATGTTTCTCATATACTCATTTCTAAAGGTGGTGATTGGCTGAATGTCTGGGGACTTGCAGCTGTTGTCCTACATGAGAAAGTAAATCTGATAGACCTCGAGACAATGGAATTGCGTGTCAGTCATAAAGCACTCTAAAAATAAACAGAAAGAGATGGAGCATGAGGCTGGGGATCAGTGTCGATGACGCCTCAAAATAACACACTGGCGAGCTCACTGAAATCCTGGAGTATCAGCTCACCACTGCTCCTTTGATGTTGTTTCATCATCATCATCATAACAGCTTCTGAACTCCATCCTAATAAATCTCACGGTGAATTCAGTTCGTGTTGCCTTATTTCTGCTGCCATTATTTGCTTTTAATGCAGCTGAAAGGAGAATATGTATTTTCAAACAACATGCCGCTCAGAAAGTTTGGGGATAGTAATATTATTTGTTTCAAAAAAATTAATACTTTTTTCATCAGGGATGTATTAAAATGGTCAAAAGTACAGTCTTGCATTTTAGCACACACACACACACACAGTCACATGCATGTTCTGTTTTGACTAAGGCCACGTACACACTGCAAAGTTTCAGGACAGTGACAAATGCATTTAAATGCGGGAGTGAGTCCCCTATAAATTATCGTTCCATGTGTTTATGGAACACGACTCACTCCCGAAACTGCATGATTGACACCGTGGTAATATAGCAACGCTCTGACGTCTCGCATGTTTGGTATCCACTATTCTGACCAAAGTAATATTACAGTGACAAAAGACTCGGTGTGTTTTATCTAAAGCACAGGCGACGGAGGCGTTGTGTTTTGTTTAGGGCTTGCTCAAAGGCCAAAGTTGCCTTGTCCACTTATTACAATCATTTTTGGGTTTGTTGTTAAAGCTTGGCTCATACAGCGATATATAGTCATCATTTGAAGTGGATCAAAACCTTTCATTAAAGTTATAATTGAAACCAATGCAACAATACCCGTTTTTGTCTTAGGACAACTTTTATGAACTGTTTTTGATCCACTTCAAATGCTGACTACTGTATATTATATAGGCTATTATAACACATTTCCATTTATTTCATTTTTAAATGGGTTGTTCTTGGCAACACGATTCAGGCTCGTACCACTTTCCCTGTGATTTATTGCACCACACATAAAGATGAGTGACACGTACATGTCTTTCTCGAAATACGTATTTTAATATGCACCAGAGAGGTGTATGTACAGACTATGTAGAATTTAGTAAATAAAGTAAATTAGTTTCTTTATGTTTTAGTTCTGTTCCTGTTTGCCTGTGTGCCCTTTAATTTGACCCAGTTTCCTATGTTTGATTATTGATTCCGTACACCTGTCGTTTAGTTAATTACCTCATTTAGTCTGTGTATATATACTCCCTGTTTTTTGTTGAGTTCTTTGTCCGGTCTTGTCTTTGTGAAGTGTCAAGTCAAGTCAAGTCAAATATATTTATATAGCGCTTTTCACAATACAGATTGTATCAAAGCTGCTTCACAGTATCAATCAAAACAACTTAATAGTGTTAGTTTATTACTGGAAAAGACATCCAAGTTTGGTAGAGCTGATCAGTGGTATGATGGGTCATTTAATTTGAATATCCCCAACTGAGCAAGCCAAAGGCAACAGTGGCAAGTGTATGGGTTACCCCGTGTTTCTGCCCTGTATCCTGTGGACTACTGAATTAAAAGACTATCCTTGCATTATTTGTCTTTGTACACTCAATATACAGCCACCTGTTACAGAAGACCGGATCTATTTAATTTTGCTGCGTTTTCTTTTTCCCCTTTTGATTTAATTTCCCCCTCATGGATTTACCTGCAGTTCAACTTCTCCGTTTGTAGCAGAGGGATCATCCATTGGAGGACCATACCCTGGACTTTATCAACCTGGTGTGCCAGACTCGCTATCAACTGTGTTTTCTTTTACACTAGCGGTCCATGGCATGCTTCCCAGTGGATGGTCCAAAGGAAAATATCGCCGTGTTTGTGAAATGGGTACTGACGTGTAACAGATCGCCTTTTTCCATCTGGCCGATTGAGGAAGACACCGCCATCCCCACTCCTCACCCAGAGAACTGGCAGCCACCAACCACAATAGTGACAGAGATTATGCATGAGCCCACCACAGACAGAGTGCCCGAGCCTGGTTCGAGAGAGAAGCCTTGCCTCCCAGAGAGTCTGACCAGGTGTGTGTGCCGGCTACATCAACCATTCCTGTGGGGCTACTCGTGGAGTTCGAGGGCATGGAGTGGAGCCCCGCCCACACCACCGGAGTTGAGAAAATCCTGAATCTGATCTCTGTGGAAATTCATGGCATGGATGAGTTTAAAGAGAATGCTGCCCTGTGTTTCCTATACCCTCTGGTCCTGCCCAGCCCCAGTTCCCCTATTTCTCCGTTGGTTCAGTCCAGTTCTGAGTGTCCAGAGTCCCCATTCAGCCTTCCTCTCCCACCTCCTCTACCAAAACCAAAAGTGCATCGGTCCTGCTTTCGCTGGTCCCCTCCAGCTCCCCTACAGCTCCCCTACTCCTCCATCCACCCCGCTGTACTGGATTGATGCACATTTGAGCTTCCAGTAATCAGCTCAGTCCTGGAAGGAGGATCATGTGGCTCTATATCAGTCCTCTGAGTCCTTGACTCCACCTCGACCCTCTGACCCTTCAGCGTCTCCTTGGCTCCATGTTCCCTCAGCTCCACTGGGGTTCGTCAGTCCACGGACTCCACCAGGCTCCCTCCACCTGACTACACCATGGTCTTCCACTCATCTGGCTGTGCCTCGTCCCTCCATCCCTCTGGCTCCGTCAGACTCCTCCTTCCCTCCAGCGCTGCCTTGGTACTCGCTCTGCCCCGCCCTGCCGAGCCCCCATCTCCAACTCGGTCCTGCAAGCCTGCAGGCCCTCCAGATCACTGGTGTCACCTTGGGTGTCCATTCCGCCTGAGACTCCTCAGTCTCCATCAGTCGCCACCATGGTATCATCTAGGGATTCTCCAACATGGCTTATCCTTCCCTCGACGCCGCCGTGGTCCTACTTCCTGGCTGGGCCCATTTCTCTGGGTCATCATCCAGCTCAATTTGCTCCTGGCTTCTCCATCCTTCCACTCCTCCTTGGACTGTTTTGCCTGCCCCTGACTGTGTCCGTCTCTCTCCTGTTCATCGTCCTCCTCCAGAGCCCCCACCATCCCTCCTCAGTCGTCACATACATGTTCTGTTTTGACTTAGTTTCTTTGTGTTTTAGTTCTGTTCCTGGTTGCCCATGTCCCTGTAATTTGACCCAGTTTCCGAGTGTGTTTGATTAATCATTCCGTTCACCTGTCATTTGGTAAATGCCTCATTTAGTCTGTGTATATATATATATACTCTCTGTTTTGTTCAATTCTTTTTACGATCTCGTCTTTGAAGTGGATGTTACTCCATCTATCTGCCCTGATCATGTGGATTATTGAATTAAAAGACTATATTCCTTGCATTCTTCATCTTTGTGCGCTCTATATACAGCCACCTGTGATGCACACACACACACACACACACACATATATATATATATACATAGATATAAACACAACACATTTTTCATACTGCAGTTTGTGTCATTTGATTCAGTTTCAATGACCGTGGTCCAGACGTTTGACTGGTAGTGTATGAATACACTATATATCATGTATAGTCATATATTTTAGGATAGCAGGTAGAAGACCCTCAAAAACTGCAGACATAGCCATTTTTACAAATGGCTGTGTGAAATGAAAGATAAGGATGGATTGCCAGAGTAAGTACCTGTATCACACAAAAAGACAGAGGTGAAGTGAAGCTCTTGAGCTTCCAGCTTCATTGTGTGGAAAAGGGCAAACTGCAAAAGACCTCCTGCCTGGATGATTGTGACGGCAAAATGAAAGAAGTCTCTTTTCTCCGAGGCTAAACTGAAGCATTAATGAAAAAGATAAATAAATAAATCCACAATTGGATCCTCTTCTTTTAAAATTTAATGTCCACTCCTGCCACATCTCTCAAAGAAGAGAAGGGGTTATTCACCTTCCCTATACTCACAGGCTGAATAGTAATGATACAGTATTAGGTTTCATCTGGACAGATGTGCCATCAAATTCTCTCGGCCCCTTTATAGGCACGCTTTCGCTCGGATGCACATGCAAAACCTGTCAAAAAGAGTTTATGGGAATTAAGAAACAAGCTCCACGGGATTATCATCAGTCATTTTCCAGGGTCGTGCAGAGTTGGCGAAAACACGAGCATCCGCCAAAAATAACTGACTCTGCAAGTGAGTCATCCAAAACAATGTGCTCTACAGCTTACAGCGATGATACGCAGAAAACAGCATCACCCGGCAGGGGTTCGTATGATGTTCATGTGCGCGCTTTAGTCAATAGGAACGTCGCAAAAGCCTGAACACTTGCTTGCTTGCTTGCAACTTCTTTTACATGTATTTAGTTTGAATGTACAAGAAAAAGGAGGATCAGAATAAATTAGACACAATTCCCTTTATTGGCATGGTGAGGCTGATGAAAACTACACATAAAAAAGAAAATCCACAACAAAGATTGTACAATACGTACAACTACAAAGGCATTGGTTAGGACTCAGCAGAAGGCAACATGGATAGGAGACAAATAGAAGATAACACAGTCAAACACAGTCCCCTTGACCCGAAATACACGCACACTCTATCAAATCCACACACAAAATCACACACAGCCTCATTTAGATATATCTGCTTCTTTATGGAAACACAAAAAATCATCCGACGCAGTGGCAAATCCTTCAGTAGTAGTTTTCACTATGGTAAAAAGTCTGCCACTCCAAAAGATACACCCCATCAGGGTGTTGTAACATATTGCTACAGCAATTTACAAAGCAGATTTGCAACATACATGTTGCATCGATTAAAGCCACACATATCGAACGCGACATGACTCCATACCCAAGCTCTGTGCAGAAAATAATGTACAAAACATTTCTGAAACCAGACATTTACATTGACAGCAATGGTTTGTGAATCTTTTAATATGGGCTACGACAAAACCTGCTGTTAATCGACATAAAAAGGTTACCTTAAGTGTCCGTGACAAGTGCCTGTTGTATTTGGGCGATTCAAATTATTAACAGTTCATTTGCCTTCAAACCACAGCAAAGACAAAAATAGCTCTTGCTTTGGAAAGAGACTCAATCTCATAGATGCAATTTTTGGCTTTTCCACTTCTTTCATTGCTTATATTGAATTCTTGAATTTGCTCACACTCTCACACACACACACACACACACACACAAGCTGCATTCACAACCAATTTCTCTTTCCAACGGTGTTCTTAAGATCTGTGTTGAGGCACTGGAATGGATCCCCCGTATTTGAACAGAGTCTGGGTAATTTGTCATGTCTAAAACCATACAACAACATGAGCTAAAATACAGCTTTGAAAAATAATTTATTGCTTTTTTATTTATTCATTTTTTTAATTCACATTTTCATATTCCATTATTACTTTTCATTATTTTGAGTTATTGTGAGTAATGACAAGATTAGTATCATCATATATATAATTTTTTTTTTTTACATCAAATACATCTTTTTTTCTTCTTTTTAAAAAATTCAGGAAAGAAAATTGTAAACTTTAGTTTGGCATTCACATAATCAAAAGTGTGGAGCAAAGACACAGATTTTCTGTGGTACAACAAAATACCTGCAAAATTATTTTATTGCTTCATGTAATAAAAAAAGAGATGAAAAGGTGGATGTTTTAGAGCTAGAAAAACAAATAAATCACTTGAGTTTTGGAGCAGCAAAGTTCATCATGAGCCTAGAATATGATCATACAATATATTGTTTGTTCCATCTCTGAAGGCATATAAAAACGATATTTCTTTAGAACTTGTAAATTTACATCCTTTCCAGTGATTGTTGAATAACAAATAATATAAATAGCAAAATTTGTAAGGCGCATCACGTGAGATGGCTGCCATAAATATTTTGATTAGAATACTGAGATAAATACATAAATAAGCATGAGTAATTCTGTGTTAGAAGAGTAATCATCTCTGTGAAAGTGTATTATCAAACAGGAACAATAACAATTATTAGTGTGCACCGAGAAATTAAAATAAAATCTATTGATTCCTTCAGACATAAAGGATAAAAAAATATCTTGGGGTTTATCTTTTTTTCTTTTTTCTTTTTTTTACACAGTAGTGAACATAAACTCTTGAAAATCTATCTTACACTGCATGTATATACGGAAAACACTGAGTTATTAACTTCAAAATCGGATAAAACTGCACATGGAGTTTTTCAATGAAATAAAAATAAACAAAAAACAAAAGCAAAACAAGAAAAACCAAAAGAAAAACAGACAAAAGTTTGTTGCATGCTCCCCCAAAAAGAGCAATAAATCTCCATACATATTTTTTACAATCAAATCACGTCATCTAAACGCCATGTAGGTTATACATCATCATAATGACTACAGATCAACATTCTCGATTAAGAAAATTTCATCTTAAAAAGGCTGCATTTTACAGTGCATAGCTGTAACAAACAAAGAACGCTGATATGCACATCAAATAAAAATATTCCTTTTGTAAATAGGCGACTACACCCCCCCCCCTCCCCCTCTCAATAAATGTAGACAATGTTACCTTGAACATCCAAGAGATTTCCCCAAACCCTTCTCGATACTGTAACACCACATCCAAACACCAGATTAAAAAAGGAACAGAAAAAGCCCACAAAAATAAACTCCAAACAATAAAAACAGACTGAACGAGCTGCAATTTTCCCCTTTCAAAGTGCCGAGGGTGATGCGTGTGTGAAGCGAACTCTGACGAAGATTCGTGTCTCTTACAGAGCCTCACGCGGCACACGGATCTGTGTAGTCCACTAAAGTAGTGTGCGCTACTTCACTGGTTATCCCCACAGGTAAGTGTCTCTCCTCAGCTTCGCAGCAGCTAGGTTCATGTAAACTTTGCTTGCAGATAAACGCATATATCCCTTCATATACGTAGAACTTTATTGTCCACATATACTCTTTCCACTTACAGAAAGTGTAAAACGTCTATAGTCTTGTATTCAAAGAACAGAAACAACAGTGAGGTATTGCAAATCCCTTTGTTTGCAGCCAGCCGGTGCAGTGGTGCTCATTACCTTCTCAGGCTATACTGGGCCTCTCGCAACAAGCTGTCAAAATCCATGGAGTCGTACTTGCTTTTAGTGGAGGCTGGATCAAAGTCATCAGAATGGGAATCTGAAAGGAGAAAATGGCACGTTTGAACATCTGTGGAAAATGGCCTCATTTTAAAAGGTGTGTTAGTCATTTTGCAAGAGCTCCTTTGTATGGAAGCCAACTTTGTCACCTACATAAAAAAAAAAAGTGCTTTGGTAAATCATGATTATTACTTAAAAGTTCCGACCTATGTCATAATGACTTGTGTGATAATTTAGTCTTTTTGTCATAATTATGAATTTTTATGGCATTACTAATTTTATCTCATAATTCCGACTGTCGTAATTTACTTTTTATCTTATAATTGTGACTATGGCATAATCTTGTTAATTTTATGTCAATTTAGAATTTTTATGTCAAAACATTATGTCCGTCAATTTCGACTGTCATAATTATGAATTTTTATCTCATAATGTTGACTTTCATAATTTTGACATTTTATGTCAATTATGAATATGAAATGCTATCGCATAATTTAGACTTTTTGTCATTATTTCTTCTTATGTCATTATGCCTTTTTTTGTCATAATTTTGACTTTATGTCACAATTGTGCATTTCATAATTGATTAGTACTTATACATATTTTTTGCATTATTATGTGGCAAAAATGGGCTTCCATTGTGCGATGCAATTGTTACAGACAAATAATTTCATAATGTCCCTGAGTCCTGTTCAACGATAAAAAGGTTTTTTAATTTCTGAATTAAAATTCATTTTTGATATATATAAAAAGTCAGTGTTGTACAGCTGTCAAGATATCATATAAATACTTTTATTATTATTTACATATGAATGAACAATTCATGATCTTTGTAAAAAAAAAAAAGATAAAAAAAACCCCATTTTGAATATAATTAAGATGTGTACCCTCACATGAATTAAGATACAAGGAACATTTTTAAAACATAAAATGTCAACTTTTCAAAACCATTTGAAACCAACATGAACACAAAGAGTGCATCTCTATGAACTTGGCACATGTGTTTTAAACTTTAAAATAGTTCTCTTTATCTCGTTTAATCCTTTTCTTTATCGTGGAGACTTATTTGTCACTGTGGGTTAATATTATGCAATATGATACATTTTACGCTAAAATGCAGGGGTCATCCATTTAAACCACAGAAAATCAGTCTTCTAGGTTTCTCTCTCAACCTTTCCTGTAATATAATCATCAATTGTCTTGAACCACCCAGTTTAATTATTAAACAGTCAGGAGTAACTTCCCGAAGATGAGAGCCGAACGGCCATTAGACATACGGTTTGATTTGTGGCCAGGATAACAAATACGGCTGTCTTATCTCTAGTAGGAGACAGCTTCACAAATGGTGCCCTCATATGCACAGCGGCAAAGTCGAAGCACGTGAGAAATGGGAATGACCGTGGCATGCAGGAGATGCCAGTCGTGATCTAATGCTATGGCTAAGGGGAGAATGGTGTCATGCAGCGCACCTTGAAAGATGAAAAATGCCCCTGCGCTCTACTTCGAACTAATGGACGGTGTCTCGGAAAACAAGGAGGAAAGAGGAAGAGAAAGGCAGAAGATTGAGAGGAAGGTTCTCAGGCTATTGTGGCGTGCTATTCTAGTCACTTCTCTCTTTTCCCGCCATTCCCTCTTCATCTGAACCCGTCGCTGCGCTTCAGCCTACACTCACCGTAAAACCCTGTATCTAGCGAAAGGCCTCAAGAAAATGAAGGTCAACTCATACATCTGCCCTGAGGTGGGGGTACAATCCCAAATACAATGCTTCTGCTATATGGCCCTTAACCAAAGCTTCCACGCTTACTTTTGGAGAGCGTATTATGTCCACAGTCTGAATACCTTTGGCCTTACCCTGAGCCTTTGAAGTATAAGGTAATGTCCCCATTATTTGAGGGAAAGCGCTCTTGTTCCTTTCCATTGACCTGCAGCACCATCAACGCCACTCAGACGGATCCTCCCAACGTCCCGACCATTACACGTCCCTGACCTCACATTTTGCAGAAAATAAATGCGGAGTGGAGCATTGAGTAAATATTGAAGTGCATGCTGTTCTCCAACCTCACATTTTTCCTGTTATAACAGGAAGTAATGGTCTCATGTTGCATGGCTGCACAGGGCAGAATTCACCAACATGTGAAGGCGCTGCCCTTAGGATTCGATTCGTTTGCCTCCTTCTGTATCTCTTCCCTTCCCCCAAAAGACACTTTCCCCTTTGGGTGGAGATGATTGCCTATTACAGACACAACCATATCATAGGCATCATGGGTAGGAAAAAGCCCCATAACATTTTACAAAGGAATTTGTCGCTCACAGATCCATCAATCTGATCTAGATTGTCACCTTGGTAATCCTGGACAGAGGGCATGGTGCATATGAAAAGAAGCGCATGCTGTTTAAAAGCCTCAAGGTATTGTGTGAGGAAGAGATGGGATGAGAGTGAAAGAAAGAAATGCATGGGGATCGGACAGAGACGGCCAGCGTTATTTTAGTGTTACTTATCGAGTTAATGTTGGATTGCAAACAGTTTTTGCTATCGAGGTGGGATACGGGTAAGGTTATGGACAGGTTTGGTGGTATGGGTAGGGATAAAGGTGCGTTAAGGGGTAAGGGAAGCGTCAACAGTGTAATTATTAGGGCTGGGTATCGATTCAGATGTTCAAATTCGATTCGATTTCGATTCACAAGCTCACAGTTCGATTCGATTTCGATTCTCGATTCGATTTCGATTCTCGATTCAAATTTCGATTCCTGATTCGATTCTCGATTCGACTATAATGAATATAGATGTAATACAAATCTCAGTCTAAATATCAGTTATCATTTTTTAGACAATTTTTTATTACATTGATCTCACCTAAATGTTGGTTTTTACAATGGGGTAATTTTTTTGTTAAGAGTTTATGCAACACATGGAAGCTTGATTTCAATCTTTGAATTAAATTGAAAAAAGTAGCACAAATAAATACAATAGAATATGCCTAAAAAGACAGATAAAGAGACATAAAAAGAAATATGAATATGGATAAAGTAATCCAATGTAAAATAACACTGGATAGTCTTTTAGTCCTGACTGAATTAAATACATAGGCTATTAATTCTGATTCCTTACAATTAATGCTATATTTTGTTGTTTTGACAACAAAATTAATGACAGACACATATGGCTGCGTTCACTTTAAGAACTAGTGCACGGATCCATTTCCGTTTCATTATACTGTCTGTCACACGCGTTTTATGCTTATTTAAGACATAACCGACTGTCTTTACGAGGTTACTCACCAAGACCAGAGTTTTGACATCATTTTGTGTGTTTTTAACTGTTAAAGCGATATAATCCACGAAAAAGAACTTTTGTTACTGGCGAGCTGTTTGTTGTGAGGCGGATTTAGGCTGCATGCAATGAAAAACATGCACGAGTGCGCGAGCACAGGATAGTTTAAAATTGCTTGAAAAAAGACGTGAAAATGATAAACGTTAGTTACGATGCAATGCTGGCCCGATTGTGCAAGTGAATCATGTCCCGACTCCTAAACACGAGTGTGTATCGACGCCTGCAGCGCTTGACGCTTGCCTTGTGCAGAGTGAGAAGACGCAGCACGCGAGCCCTGAATATGGAAAAAATCGATTCGTGGCCGTTGAGAATCGATTTTGAATCGACCACATTTAAAAAAACGATTAATCGAAAAATCGATTTTTTTGCCCAGCCCTAGTAATTATAGATTACAGAAACGAATTACAGCTGTAATTGCAGTTTTTTTAATTATAAGTACAATGTAAAAACATCTAAGTTCACAATAAGTGCATTCTATAAAATGATTACATTTAAATGTTAGTGCATAGAAGTTAAAGACACTAAATATAATATAATATAATATAATATTGCTGTTGTTGACTGCGGTTTTTATTAGTAGCGTCTCTAGTCAGCTGTAAAAAAAAAAAGAAAAAATGCAGCCAGGCTGTGTACTTACCTAAGTCTGTGTAATTCGATTTACTGTACTGCTTTTGTCCACCAAGGCAGAGCTCAAAGTGAGGCTCGTTCGACCTGCGCAAGGTGTGTCCATTCTCAAGGGCAGCGAGCGCATCACAAGTGTAGCGGTAGGTGATGAAGCCAAAGTTGTCTCTGGGTTGAAAAATAGAAAATGAAGCGTCAGTCGACGAGAGCGCAACAAAAAGCGTACTCATCTTTCATTCCCCATTCAAAATGCAAAATTGGAATCAGTAAATATGAGACATCTCGCTTTTTGTTGCAGTATAATCCTATTTGTATTCAAACACGCCTGTGCTGTCTGTGACAGATGCGTGTGCAATGAGAAGCAGTTAAGTCTGCTCTCCTAATCACCGTCCAATGGCCACAAGTACATCATTAACTAGATTTAGAAGATTCCTTTTATGCTGAAAGATAATATTGACTCCTTTTAAACATTTGACACACGCGATCCAGAAAAACACACAGACACAGGCCCACAGTCTTACCCGTCATGTCTCAAGTTGACTGTGCACTCCTCAATTTCGCCGAAGACTTCAAAGCGGCGTTTGAGCTCTGTGCGTGTGCTGTTGGCACGAAGACGTCCCACATACACCACTCGCCTCTCCTCCTGGTCATAAAGGGAACGAGAGAGAAGAGATTAGTCTAACATAGTGCTTCTGCTACTTTTTTTCCTCGTCCCCCTCTCCTTGACTTTTCTCAACCTCACCCCATGACTGTAATTAACATCCACCACTGTGGGAAAGCCAAGAACCGTCTGGAGAAAATAGCTAGAGGACTCTCCTTTATCTTTTTCACTCTGATTTGTGAGTAACAAAAGCTGGGTGATACAGCTAAAAAAAAGCTTTCATTCTTTTTGATATAGATTCAATATATATCTTGATATTTCTGTTTTTGTTAAATAGTTTAAAGGGTACCTTTCTGTGGCAAGCAGGGCGGGGCCGATAGCCGTGGGAACGGAGCGAGGTCGGCGGCGCGATTGCAAATGAGCCGGTCTTGAGTCTCACGGAAGGAGATCTGGAAGAATAAAAGGAGGAGTGACGGCAGTGCAAGAGGAGAGAGAGGACCAGACTTGGACTTTATGTTGTGTTTTTATTGTGTTTATACACGTTACTTTTGTTTTGTTGTTTGTTTATTTTGATTCAATCTTTACGTTGATCGTTCGCCTGTTTCTGCCTCCTCCTTCCCTGAGCCTACATTGGTGCCAAAACCCAGGAGGAAGGAGGAACACACTGTCAAAGAGCACTTGCTGCTGTGGGAAATCCGTAGTGCCATCCAGCTGAGCGGAGTCTACCAACATCGACGCTCAAGGTGATGGGCTGGTGTGATTTGCCGGGGGAGACGGACTAACTTGGTTGTGGAAGGGTGGCTGCCGTATGTATTTTTAATTTATTTTTTACGTTTAACATAAACTTTAATATTAAAATAAACAAACAACAATACAAAAGTAAAGCGGCAGCCCCTCACGGACGACTGCCGGATATAAACTTAACATACAAAAAACACAACATAAAGTCCAGACCTGGTCCTCTCTCGTCTTGCACTGCCGTCACTCCTCCTTTTATCCTTCCGGATCTCCTTCCATGAGACTCAAGACCGGTGTGGCGAGCGGGTGACGCTCATTAGCAATCTTGTCACCGGCTTCGTTCCGTTCCCAAGGCTCTCAGCCTCGCCCTGCTTGCCACACTTTCATTGTAACCAAACAGCATCATTGCCGAGCAGATTCAAAATACTATATACATAAAGAAAGCCACCCGGGGAACAGCACAGTGCTTTTAATAACACCACCATGATTAGTTTTCAACAGTATGTAGCTAACCATTGTATATCGACATTTATTAATTCAAAATCACCTACACTACAGCTGCATATTTATACTCTAGAATGCTTTGACGCGCTACCACAGTCTGCCAATTCCTCCAAGTTGTTAAAACGTATCATTTGTATTAATTAAAATTACTTTTAACATTCAAAAACAGACATGTTCAAAATCCAGAGCTTGATTGTATTTGGTAGTAGACTGACTTACTACAAGGGACTTTTTTCCAATACCTCCCTTCATGTATTTACAGTAAACAATTATTTTTTAGGAAATTTCTGTAAAAGTTTTTTTTTCTTTTATCATGTTTCAAAGGTTGTAGTTCCTATTAACCAGACTGACAAACAACAGGTGAAATTGTGCCAATAGCTCCCTGTATGCACAATACACCATTTATTTTTTATAAAAACATTAGGCCAACTGTAAATCACATAAAAGTTTTTTTTTTTTTCATGTCACAAAGCTTGTGGTAGGTTCCTAGTGACCAAACTGACTTATTACAGGTGAAATTGTGCCAATACATTCCTGTAATTCTGCAATTCACCAAATGGTTTTTATTTTTATTTATCAGATTATATTATAACAAATTATACGTTTTAACCACTTGGTGGAATTGCCAGACTGCGGTAGCACGTCCAAGCATTCTCGAGAATAAATACGCAGCTATAATTCATGAAGGTGATTTTGAAGTAATATTTGATGTCGATATACAATGGTTACACTGTTAAAACTAATCGTGGTATTGATATATTTAGACTGCTGACTCTATAGAACAATGGCAAGGTGTTGTAGTCTACATTTTCCGTTGTGTTGTGGCTCATTTCCGTTGTGTCGTGGTTTAATTTCGTTGTGTTGTGAACTTGTTTGCTTTTTTAAATTTCGTTGTGGGGCGATACAATTTCGTTGTTGTGCACTACTGGGCCACCGTAGATAATACTAAGATTGTCACTAAGATACAGCATTGTGATGAACAAAACATTTAATAATAATCAGTTCTTTTTATCCAAATAAGATGCCTAAATGTAGGGAGTTGCCAAGCAACTAGTCACATTAAAATAGAAATGATGTACTGTCAAGTTTTATCATCAATTTTAGCTACAGGCTAATATGACTTTGTTCCATTATTCATTGAAGCAAAAGAACACATAGATTGAGAAAACGTAAAGACCCCATCAGGCTGAATATATAAAATGGTGGTATTTAATTTAGTTTGCTAATCTTGAGACAAAGCACAAGCCTCAGGCCTTATTACGTGGCATTACTTATTCATTTGTTCATGTACCTGCCATTATGTGTGACAAAATATACTTATGATCCTGAACAATAACCTGAGGTCTCTTGTAAGTCATACATAAAATTATGATTCGTATCTATTGCCCCACAACAGAGTCATAATTCACCTGTGTATATGATGTCACCGTGTCACAACAACAACGACAGCTACAACAAAAACCAACAAATTAGCTAGAACACCTGGGAGAGGGGTTTCTTTTTTGCATTTCCTCTGAAACTCCCCTCACATTTCCATCATGTACAATAGGAGACAAAAGTGTTTGCTGAATTGGTGGTTTTGTTGCTGACAGCTGATAAATGCGGTGAGGTTTTAAAGATGACACCCTGAGACTAGCGCTTCATATGAAGCTCTCACATCCTTTGCCCCCCCAAAACCTCTTCTGACAGCTCAGCCGCCGCCGCTAGTAATTGTCTTGCTGCCGCAGAACACGAAGAAAAAAGAGAAAAAGAAAAAAAGAGAGAAAAAAAAAAAAAAAAAACGTACGCAGGGCCGAGTCATGCGTGCATTATTTGACGTGTGCATTTATCAGTGAACTGAGTTGGAAAGCCGTCTCATTTCACAGTCTGGTCAGGCACAGCGAGAGAGAACAAAACTGATATTTCATCTCAGAGAACTGCATTTCAAATATGTAAGTGTTAGAAATTAAACTGCTCATTTTGAGCCCACATATTAACATACCTTTGATTTGGGAAATCTTATTTCAACTTTTCCCTCAATTGTCTGGTCGAAAGCATTTAGCCCATGGTGTGATTAATTGAATCCGGCACCATTCGGAAACGCCACAGAGATGTTAAAAATACACAACTGGGAGATAAAGAGGAAACGCGTGTAGCCTGAATGATTCAGAGTGCAGTCTTTGCATGAGTTCACTTTTTGAGTGAGAGAGAGTGCGCGCGCGCTGGGATGGCTGTGTGCTTCGAGCTTTCTGTAGGCATACACAGTGAGGGAGGCAGAGAAAGCCTGAGAGAAGGATAAACGTCTGTGCTAATGTACGATTGCTGCCAGAAGGAGAGAGACCACAACTGAAAAAACACCTCCAAGCATAATAGGGTTTTTGTCAACTATGGGCATGTTTGGCCCTGTGGACTTTGAGAAAAATCAACACTCTTAAAACACACACTCAATATTTCGTTTAAATTGTCCAACAGTGGACAGACATTTAAAATAAAATATTTTTTTAAACATTTTAATCCCAGAGCCATAACTATCACATTTAAAATGATATTTTGTGTTTAATAGCATTTTGGGATGGAAATAGATTTTTTTTTAATAACACTTTTGATAATTTTACAAAATTACATCTTGGAAATTATGCACAATTTCGTTAATAATTAATTAAGTTTTTCATTATTATTATTTAGGGCTGGGTATTGACGCAAATTTCACAATTCGATTCGATTTCGATTCACAAGCTTGCGATTCGATTCGATTCAATATTGATTATTTTGGATATCAGGTACAATACATGGCACATTTTCTCAAGGAAAACAAATCTCTTAACTAATGCTGTAAACTATGGGAGTCAGTTGTAGCCTACTAGGCTTCATTAGCCTACTATAATATTGAAGGTAAAAATTAACTGATTTGTAGCTATACAAACACTTAAATTACACTTTTATTTATTTTTATAATAATAAAGTTATATGAAATATACACATTTAAATGGTGGCTGTCATAAAAACTTGCCAGATTTATTCAAACATGCATTAAATATCGAAGAACATTAAAAATTATAATGAATATGTAATATGGTGCATATATTTAGCAAAATGCTCCTCTTTAGAGTTAATTTTTCTAGCTGACTAACGAGTTTATATGTGAGGTAAATGTGACGTTACATGACATTGTTTACAAGTTGTTTTACTGACGTCTTTCCACGGTTGAAACACTGATTGAGCGATTCCATGTGACATGATACGGATTTCGATAAGTTGTAGGCCTACTCTATCTTTTAACACACTTTCAGACGTTCATTCATGTTTATTTCGCGCTGTAACTGGTATTATTAAGGCAGAAGAGGAGATCATGTCCGCTCCGCGCTGCTGCTTCTCTTGAGCTGAGCTGAGCCAGAGCGATCTCACGCCACAGCGCCAAAACGGTTTATGTTTTTGAATTTCATAAGAAAATGGACGTAATTTGACATTTGAGACTTTATTTAGTATCAGTAGTAACAAAGCACAAAGATTATTGCGATTTATTGGATGGGATGCGCGCTACAATGTTCCATTCATTCCTCAAATGAAAACAGAATGACTAATCGATTCTTGAGATTTAAGAATCGATATCGGTTCGTAAAAATGAGAATCGATTAATATCGAGTAATCGATATTTTTTACCCAGCCCTATTATTATTATTATTTCACTAATATTGAGATTATCATGTTTCAATCTAAACAGTCTTGTCAATGTTTTTAAATTAATATTTGTATGATGAATTTTGATTGAAAATCTATGGATAAAAGGCATTTGAAAAAAATATAAAAGTAAATCATTAAGACAGAGTACTAGTTTTCAAGAAAGTTTTATATGCCCTTTATATAACAAAAAACAACACAATTTTAAACCTGTAGGTTTTAATAAAAAACAACTCCAGGGATATAAATGTGTCCATAGTTGAAAACACATCCTATAATTTAATAAAACACCGAAGAGGGTGTACTTACTATTGCTTTTTGCCGTTGTCTCTCCCTCTGCTCGGCTCTCTCACATTCCCGTTTCTCATAGTCACGTCGGAACTCTTCCTGCTTCAGACGCTCGTGCTGGTATTCCTCATAGCTGTCGTACCTGTAGTTGAAAAGGACAAAACATTCCATAAAAAAATAAACACACAACTATAAGAAATATAAAGAGATTATCTTTAGTATCTAAATTGTTTCTCCAAGATGGGATTAAATAGAGAGTCTACTTCTTATCATATACAGGTGAAACTCGAAAAATTAGAATATCGCGCAAAAGTTAATTTATTTCAGTATTTCAACTTAAAAGGTGAAACTAATATATTATATAGACTCATTACATGCAAAGTGTTTGTGATATTTCAAGCCTTTATTTGTTGTAATTTTAATGATTATGCCTTACAGCTATGAAAACCCCAAATTCAAAATTAGAATATTGTGAAAAGGTTTTCATAGCTATAAGCCATAATCATCAAAATTATAACAAATAAAGGCTTGAAATATTTCACTTTAATGAAATCTATATAATATATTAGTTTCACCTTTTAAGTTGAATTACTGAAATAAATGCGCGATATTCAAATTTTTCGAGTTTCACCTGTATATAAATACACATCATATCTTTCGTTTGACTTTTTTCAAGGGAACTGTTGAAGAAACTTAAATTAAATATAACGGAGAACTCGATTAAGTTTTCTGAGCTGTGAAAGAGCAACCTCTGAGCAATACAATTTTTCTGAATACATAGATGTATTGTTTGCTGTTTTCCTCAAGTGGCATTGGGAATCAGCTAGCTCAGAGCAGACTGCTTTCCATTCTTCTTAGCGTGGAAGACAAACAAACACATTAATAAGATGTCTCATTACATCGCAAAAGGTTACAGCTCCCAATGGCAGGACTCTTAAGGGAATATGGCGGAAATTTGGCAGCTGTGTCTGTCAGCACAACTTCACATGCCATTACTTTTTGCTTAGTTTGAACTTTACGTCCAAAAAGTGCAACTTTTTTTCTACAGCCATTTGCAAAAGAGGCAACATGGTGTAAAAGCACAATATGAGAGGACAACAGCACCATCAGGGAAAAGGTGTAGCTGGGAGGTAGTGGGTCCCTAATGCAAGCTGCTCTTGCCAACGAAAGCTTTATTGTAAAAGTTTGAAAAGTTAAGGCCTTGAAATGATGTATCATGATAACTCATCATATCAATTAGACATAGTCAGCAAGTGACTTGCTTCCTTTGCATAAGGACAGACTCTGAACGTATTGCAGACACAGTACATTATCTTGCAGCACTTATTTAAGTCTGTCTCATGAACAGGTCTTTAATATCAGCATATACGCATTTTTTCTAGTATAAGTGTCACATCATATATTTATACAGTTTATTAAAGAGTAAAAAAAAAAAAAAAAAGCATTTGCCATGCGCAAGCACTTACCTGGGTCTCCGACCAAAAATAGAATTAGACTGGGACCGAGGGCTTCTATAAATCCTGGGAATAAAAGTGCTATCATCCATATTGTGAGGAGACCTGTGTATGAGCAGAAAAAACATAAAATTGTACCTTAGTCTTAAACTGAACACTTTCTTTACTTATAAAGGATCATCAGCAAGTGAAATCTATACAGTATATAGTGTAACTTTAAGTAACAGATATAAGCAAATAAAAAGGGAAATAAAGGGGTAACCTTGGAATAAAAAAGGGGAAAACAATCCTAATGAGAAACCATTTAGCTATATAGGCCATTAGAAGTTTCGAGAGCTTGTAAACATGAACAATGGCAATGTCACTAGATATTGAAAAGGAGGTAAAAAAAATCAGAGAAATCTTCTGGATAGCGGTTTTGAAGTCTCCTTTATCAGTACAATCACTTTATCATGTGTTACTAAACCTATATACATACACACACACACACACATCAAAAGGAGGCACTGTAAATATTGTCTTGCTGGCATGCTATCTGGATGTAAACCACTTTAGAGTGTTCAGGACTTCACTTACTGGGCATTTCTTTCATCTCGCGGGGATGGAGCGGGCAACGCTGTCGAGCAAAACAACAGCTGCTACTAAAAACAACAGAGCCCCATCAAAGAGTGCTGGAGAGAAATTAATCTAAAATTCAAGCTAAAGGGTGTAAGGCCCATTGAGGAAACAATGTGAGACTTCCATAAGTCTCCCAAGTTCCTCAAGCTTGTTTGCCCAAGAAATGACTCTGCTGGACTCTATTTGTCATCTGCACAGCTTGCGAATGATAAGTGAAATGAAACTTCAAAACTCCTCTGAAGTCTGCAATTTATGAAAAGTCAGTGTATCACTATAATGGTGAGCGAATGTCTAAACTCAGGTTTGGAATGGCTCGCTTAGTGTAACAGCAAGAACATTCCAAGTGTGTAGATGAGCAATTTACCATCTAAGATACTGTTTATCTTCCAAGCTCATTTTATCTTGTGTCTCTCAAAGCCAATGCTTATTGTATACTGAACATAATTTTTCTCTGGTTGTGCAAAATCAGCCATAATGACTTCAGTGTCCATGCTGTGAGACCCAGACTGGCGCTTTATAGCAATGACAGCCACAGAAAGATGTTTACATTCTTTACAACCCCTCCTGCCGAGATATGTGGATTTGTGTCCAAAAAGATTGCTAGGTAAACGTGTTTCCGAGACAGGCGGTAGGCTCACACAAAAACTTACCAAGAGGGAGAACGGCTGTCGGGAGACTCAGAGCGGGAGTATGGAGACCTGGAGAGGGATCTGTATCTGTTGTGAGATGAGAAACGGGTGCGAGAGATGGAGCGTGGCCAGCGGAGGTGCTGTGGGGAGAGCTGAGTGGAAGGAGGTGAGACAGAGCTCCATGAGAATGAACTGCTGGAAGGGGAGCTGGAGGGCGACCCTTCGAGGAGCAGCTCGAGTGGAGAACCTTCCCCCAAGTAGAACAGGCGCTCCCGGCCTACCTCAAGGTCCTCAAAGTCAGGCAGACCCGGGTGCATGTAGTCACTGAGAAGACTGGGGTACTCATCCCCAGAGTCACTGTCCTCTAGCGGCCGATTGTCCCTTTGCTCTCCCACAACCCCGCTATAGAAGGCTTGCCGAGGCTTTCCAAAGTGCTTGTTGAGCTCTTCCCGGATCTCCTGGTCCCTTAGTAGTTTCCTTCCAGCAGAACTGCAATCCACTGATGTTTTGGAGCCTGAAGTGGACTTGTGGTCCTGTCCGTGAGCATCTGTGTCCGGACAAGCCTCCTGAGCAGTGGGGGAAAGGCCCTGAAGCTGCCTGGCCAGAGAGGAAGACAAAGGGGTGGTGGAAGACAATGATGATGTATAAGTAGAGGAGGTCGGCATGTTCGAGTCTTTACATTCCACATGCCGGCCCTCCATTGGCCCAGTTACCGCTGTAGCTGTGGTGGTGCTGTCTCGTTTTGTGCTTGTAGACTGACAATAGTCGTGATCGCCAAAGACGCGGGGCATGGGCCGCTTGCCCCGACGCTCCTCCAAGCCCCCTAGGGGCATTGTGGAGGATGCCTTGCTCAGCTGGGCATAGAGCTCAGTCTGCTCTGGGCCCTTCCGAATAGAGCCGCTGGTTGGCTGAGGGCAAGAGCCCCCATTGCTCAGCCTGGGCCTTTTGCTTGTCAGGGCCGAGGGAGAGCATGAAGAAAGCTTGTTTTTGAGTGATAGTTTGAAAGTGTTCTCTTGACTGGCTTTGTGAGGAGGCGTGGTAGGTGGTGTCAGACCTGGAGGGAAGAAGAGACAGAAGATTTACCAAATGAGATCCCTCATGTTCCTTAACAGTGCTTGGTCTGTCTTTAAGTGACTGGACGAGCACACACTTGAGCCTGATTAAAATATTCCCTTTCATTTAGACCTAATCCTTATCCACATTTTATTGCAACCCTGACAGATTAATGTGACCTCCGATTGCACTGTGATACAGACAGAGTTACTCAATTAAACTTCATCCAGACCATAAACAATCCTAATTCATTAGAAAGTAAAGAGTCAGATCTTATAGTAATACTGGTGCTTTCGACAGATGCATGAATGCCACCCTCCTGGGACTCTGATGAAAGCACAGTGATGCAGGAGCTGTTATCATTCTCTTCATCTTTGCCACCTTTTCTGCTCATGAACCCCAGCCATCTTGACAGATTTATGTGCCAACAGATGGCATTTATATGGGAAGTCTTGAGATGTGTTGCTTTATGGCATGGATAATGCACTTGCACAAGCAACCGGAGGTAGTTCCTCTTTATTTTTCTCTACTTCTCCCTCTCTCTTTCTATTTCAACACCTCTCCTGATTTCTGTTTTCCTGCTTCATACACATATTATGACCTTTCTATACATTATTTATTTTGATTAAAAACAGCTTTCAGTGCATCAAACTACAACCATTTTCTAAAAATTTTTAGTATCACATACTTTTACGACCATATTCCGAAACAGGTATTTAAAAAAAAAAAAAAAAAAATCTCTCCTTTTCTTTCTTTATCAGTCTATGTCAATCACTTAATTAAATGGATACAGTACTGCAACCGTTACGAGCCTGATTCGGCATACAAAACAGTGGCCTTGACTAAATTTATCATTATGCCAATGCAATGAGCTATGAAAAGAAAGCATGCACTGCCAATGGAACTTCTGCTGCACCAATCAAACACCATCTGGGCAAAACAATGCATGCAGGGTCATAAACCAAGGACCATTATCGCCTTTACATTACATTACATAAATTACATTACATAGCATTACATAAATATGTGCTGTTCAGTTCAAGGCAGCCATGATGTATGCACACAGATACAAACACTAATCATATACCGGTGGGTTCTCTCGTCTGTTTCTGGCAGGGTGTGAATTACGCTGGGACCTCTGAACGAATTATTACTTAAAGCTTACAGAACTGATCCCTGTGGTAATCTTAAAATGCCACACAAGGAGCGTAACACAGACTGACCTGGGTGTCATATGATACCATAATTAAAGGAACCCCCGCTCAAGTTAATCTATTAGAGGAATGGGGATTAGGGAATGGTATTAAATCTGGCACTTTCATAGTGCTGGCTATTCCGCGGGTGTCCTGCAGTGAAACACCTGGACATTTTCTATTTCAACAGCTCCATAAATATGGATTCTCACACCGCTGTCATGATGACACAAACCTCAACGGAAATTTTATTTATTGTATGACTTCAGAGTCTCATCTGGCTTTATACTGACTTGTAATCAGTTAATCTGGTATGATCATCAGTAAACACATATGAGTATGAAGGGCTTAGGGTAGTCTATAAGACAGCAGACACTAGGAGAATGTAAACTTATCCTCATCAGAGAACTTCAACTTCAAAGCACTTTCCCTCCCTTTCCTGTTTTAAAATAGTACTGAATCCGAAATCTGAATTGTGTAAGAGGGCATCGGCAAAAAAAAAAAAAAAATTAGTAGGCACAAGCTTGTGCATTAAATACCCAAAAAAATACATTTGTGCAAAAAATAAATGAACCCCTTAGCCTTGCATAAGAGGCTGTAATGTTGACCTCACATGACTTTTTAATCTTAAAGCTAACACACACATATTTAATACATGGAAACACGAATATCTTGCAGAAGTGACAAAATTCCACAAAATGTGTAGTTCCTATAAACATTTATGACAATCCACATTTGAGCAAATACACCAAACATAGAGTTACATTGTACCCTCCGGCTAGGTCAAATCTGTACACTGAGGGCCATTACCTTGTAGTAAGTGAATACCAAATTGCCCATTCACCATGACACATTTTGAGAGGGAAAGGGCAGCCATTTTGTTTTTATTGACCTGGAATGATTAATCTCTGCATGGGGGATACAGAAATAATTACCTGCATGATTTATGCTGAGAGAAAGAAAGTGAGAAAGGGGAGAACTGCTGAAGAGTTGTGTTTCAGCCCCAGCTGACATAAACTTCGTCTGGTTATAATTACTTTTGGTCAACACCAACGCGTTTTAAAATAAATAGATGAAAAGACACACACACATGCATGCACATGCACGCACACGCATATATATATATATATATATATATATATATATCCTTTCAATTACATAAAAAATGCTTTGGCTCAATTTCACAAATGGGCCCTTTTCATAAATAGCAGAATTAACAGAGGAAATTACCTTAATGTCCCTAATCAAATTGCCAGACTCTCTAAAACAACGATGCTGATAATATCGGCAAACCCAAATTGCATGGCAAAACCAATTAAAACAATAATAATAACACAAAAATGTATCTCTGATGTATTTAAGTAGTGAGCTGCCCAGTCAAAAAGCATTAGTCTAAATGAGGAAGAGAGAATACTAACTGTTGAAAAGGGAAGAGTGAAACTTTCCAATAAATCACACAAAGAATGGAAAAAGTAATCAATGGAGGACTGTGTCAAATTCTGACCATGTTCCATCAGTTCACCTTGAACCCTTTGCTTTGATTAAACTATCAAACTAGGCTTGTTGGAGAGTCTGCCTTTTGCCAAATAAGTTTTATCTTTACAAGTAAATGATAAAAAATAAAAGAAAACCAGCAAGATATTTCAGATTAACAATCAGACAAATGGAGGAAAGAGGGAGATTTTTATCTTTGGTACAATTTTCATTTTCTTTTCTTGGTTATGAGCAAAGACCTTGTGTTTGTTTACCTGGGGTTCCACAGATCTCCACACTCAATGTGCGTTCAATGGTTTTGTTCTCAAACGGAGATCCCTTGTGGTCACTGCAACACAAAGGGAAAAAAAATTATGAGAACATGAATGGAGTGCTGAAAATGTTTGTGTGAACTTACAAATGGAAATGAAATTAACAAAATGCCTCATCTTTTTTTTCTTCTTTTTTTTTTCAGATTGTTCTGAGTTCAGTCTGCTCTACAAAAGTTGTGTAAAAACTCTCTCACTTACTTTGGAGACTCTGGGGTCAAAGGAAGTGGCAAGATGGTTGGTTTGGCTGCAGAACACAAAGGAGCATGGGTAATTAATTTACTAGTTCACACTGTGCCCACGATATTTCAGGTCCACATCTACAACTAAATATCTTAGACTCAATCAGTGACAGCAATGTTGCAAATCCAACCCTGCACTGAAAGGCTCTCTAGCCAGAAATTTAGCCAAAACCGAATACTTGGATTAACTTGACCCCATAGTTTTTGTCTTTATCTGACTGCATACTTTGTGAGGCAGGATGGAGTGATGGCATGTGTTCAGTTTCTCAGCCCATCATACAAGGTCCACCACATTCCAACAGTCAGAATGAGTAGAAAACGTAAAACAGACTATGACATGAAAAAGAATGGCACAAATGTTTCATACTGCTAAAATTATGTCTAAAAAGAGGATATTTTGCATGCAATTGAAACCAAAGCAGAGGAAGAAAGAAGAGTCAAGGAAGCGTGTGCAGTTGCCTGAGGCTGCGACCGTCTCCAACTGCAGCTAGGGAGTATCTCTCAGTTAGACAGCTATATTACGGCAGCCTGACAAAGAAGCTTTTCAGCACAGATCTGAGTTTGAAATTGGGCACGTGATAGTGTAAAGTGTTACAGGCATACCTCGTCTTTCATTTATAATTAATCTACAGACAAGGGTCTGTGCCAATTGAGAGGTTTATCCTTTGGAGGGAAATGTGTGGCTGTCTGCTTTTGTTTTTGCTCCCAAGTAAATGTTAGGTTTGTGTTAGTGCTGGGGTTAGTGTGTGGTCAAACTGGGAAGCAGTTAAAGGAGGAGAGGCAAAGGAGAGAGGGCAGGGATGCAGCAATGATTACCTAACATTGGTGGGACTTGGTCATCAAGGTGCCTGCAGAGTGCCTGTTTTTGTGAGTCGGAGGGCGTGTGCTCTGGAACTAAAGAGTCTGGGAACAAGGGGCTTGGCAGGCCCTGTGAGAATGACATGGGGCTGCCTATGACATATTCAAAAACATCTTCCCCAGCTTGGCCTACCAGATCATGCAAGCGGTCTCCTGTCACCTGTTCTGGCATGCTTAACCAGCTCTCTAGGTCTAATTTAAGCCCGGTTGAAAACTTAAGATCACTCTGGTCGGCCACACTAAATGTTTGTTTATGTAAACTAGGTGTCTTTCTTGGGTGATCACGGCTAGCTTGCTCTAAGTGTCCGTGGCTCTCTTGGACTCTAGTTGCCAAGTCAGGTAGGTCTCGCCTATTATTCTGGGGGACACTGGGCAACTGCAGGTGAGCCCGGTAACGGGCTGGCCTGGGCCTGGAGGTGAGCATCTGACTGAGCATGGGGTGCTCTAGCTCTTGCCTCCTTTTCCTAATGGTCACCGTGATGTGCCTATTAGCATGGCCAGCCTCAGCCAAGCCGCCTGCCTCAAGGCAATGACCACAGCTGCCTGCATGACCCGTCTCTCTAGGCGGGAGAGAGTAAGAGTGCATGTACCTAATAAAGCGGGCAGCGGCCAGGCTGCCTGGGTCAACAGCTGGCTGCAGGCCTGGCAGCCTCCCCTCTTCGCCGGAGCAAGCATGGCCACAGCCGCCTCCACGGGACAGCACAACGGGGGCGGATTGCTCCCCTTGAGTACACCGCCGCCACTTCCCCGCCCCCTCACCAGCCACACTACACGTGCTGGCTGCCTGGCTCTCACCTCGCTGGGCCTGCAATGCCAGCTGTTGCTGCTGCTGCTGCTGCTGCTGTGATGATGGGGAGGCAGAGGACGTCTTCTTTTTGGAGGCGGTGGAAGAGGAGCAGGACGACAGAGACGAGAAAGAGGAGGTGGACGAAGACGATGGAGAGGAAGAAGATGAGCAGGAAGAGGTGCAAGCCCCTCCCCTGTCCTTGCCACAACCTGTCCAGGTGCTCTTGGCTTCCCTGGCTTTGGTCTGGAAGGCCTCGTCACTGGAGGTGAGGTACTTGAGCAGCTCAGTGCAAGGGCGTCTCATGGACCGGTTGGGACAGGCCCCACGTGGTTTGCTGTTCCAGGGGTTTTCTGTCTAAAGAACAGGAATCAGAGAAACAGAGAGAGAGAGAGAGAGAGAGAGGGGGCAGAATGAGTATGGCATGTAACAGGGGACACTGGTAACATAGGTAGATTAGAACAGGGGGTTAGTGCAGAGGTGGTTTAGTCTCCCAAAAGGCAACGTGAGTGTGCTTTGCCCATCATCTTAATTACGAGGTCTTGGGACGGCTCCAGGAAGAATCTGCATGCAGGCAGCAGGAGGAGACAGCGGTGTCCTCTGGGACACTGCCATGTGCAGAGCTCCAGAAACAGAGTCAAAGTCATTATGGAAAATTAACTCCTCAAAGAGAGTTGTGCATGTGTGTGAGCGTGTTTGTGTGAAGGTGAGAGAATTATGCATGATGTTCACCTCAAATAACTACTCATTTTTCTTCTAGTTTACAACACGACTGTGCCAGTGGTAATAAATCATTGTTTTTGTGACAATGAGACCAACAATGCTAATTCTATCAAGACATCTGCACATTTTCTTTTTTCATGGAAATGAGATGGTGCCATTCAGAAGTCCTGAACGTCATTAAGGGTAACAGACTTTTAGATGAGACAGCCACAACACCTCCGTCACAGACACAAATTAATCAAGCTTTGGACTATTTGTATAATTTATCAGAAAGCAAAAAATTACATGAAACTAGCAGATGAGCTCACACACCAGGCCTTTGATGCAAGAAGTGCAGCGAGCAGCTACCTTGGCAACAGCAGGTGTTGGTCTGATCCGTTGGTTGCTGGCTGCATGGTTCTGTGCCTTGCCACCTGGGTATTGATTATAGCTGAGCTGGGAGTTAGCAGGCGCCAGGAGGAGCTTCTTCAGCTACAAACACAGCAGAGAAACAGATCATAAGGATTAAAGCTATGAATTTATTACAAAATGCAAAGAACTCCAAAAATATATATATTACATTTACATTACATTACATTTATGCATTTGGCTTTTTACTTTTTTTTCCAAAGTGACTTATATTGAATCCAAGGTATAGAGTTTATTGGTTCATGCATTTTCTGAGAATCAAACCTATGACCGTGGCATTGTTACCATGCACCATGCTCTGGTGTTTGTAAATATTGTTCCTTGCAAGCCATTTACATGTCAAAATATGTAAGAATCCTGTAAGTTGACAAACTAATTTATTTGATGACAGCAGTATCATGTGCATAAATGAAGAAAGCAAAACATTTATGCAATATATGCCTGTATATGTGTGATGCAAACTTAAACTTTAAGGATTTAATTTGGTAGGATATGAGTCAGATCAAACTAATATTGTGGCAGTTTGTCAGGTAGACCTGGTGCAATGCTTTTTCTGTGATACTCATCAGATTCTGATGTGATGAGCATAAATCTGCTAACATACAACAAAACAAATGCTATGTGGTTTTCAACTTTTGCTGTCTGCTGCTGGTTTATTAGAGAAAATGCTATAATATTAGAGTAAAAGATTAAAAGAGTCTACGTGATTAAATTGAATTATTTCAGCATATTCTTCACTGCTTCAGCTTGACATTGTTGTGCATGTTTCCTTTTGCAGTAATGAACAATGCAATTAACACCTCAGGAACGCTGATCTACTTTGATCTGCTTTTTCAACAGTGCTATGGTAATGTTCTGTGCAGACATCAATAGGAGGCTGCCAGAGCTGTTGTCTGGCGAGTCTGTACCCATTTTTGGTGATAGGCCTGCAGCATTTCCTTATCTGGTGCTAGTGAAGACCAGACAGAGGGAGTCAGGAAAAGTGAAACACTTTGGGACAGAGAAAGACCGATGGAAGGAAACAGAATGAGAGGGCCTTGCTTCATGGCAAAACAGGATTGGGCACACGGGAAGCACGGGAGGAGCGTCTCTTACCAGGGAAGGCTCCTCTGGCTCTGGGGTGCGTGGCGAGCCATCGGGGGTGGAAGGACAGCTCTGATCACTGGCATTGGTCACGTCCCCATCTGCCAGGGCCTCGAACGAAGGCAAACCGTCTTCGTCCACTGGGATACTGTCCAGGGTTTCTGTGAGCACTGCCAGCAAGTTGGCCTCATTTTCCTCATCTATCTTCTTAAGGGGGCGAAAAGAAAAGGGGAAAGAAAAAGAACAGTGAAAAAAGAAGGACATTTTAGTCTGGAGAAGTCATTTTGTTTTCAGACTGAGTGAAGCAGTGCTCTATAATCGCTAATAGAGGATGGAGACATTTTTTTTTTTTACTACAAAATCTCTTTCAACTACAAATTGCCTAAGCCACATGAGTCAGCACTGTCACTCATACATTAAACATGCAGCTTACTGGACCAAAATAATATCTCCCCTAAGAAACCCATTAACTGAGCTGACACACAGCAAATACCCAGGGAAGTAGCGAGAAAGAGGTAAGAAACAAAAAGAGGGAAGTTAAGTTCCTCCAATCGCTAACTCAGACGTCTCAAATGGCTCATCAACAAAATTCAAGCTGGCAATCCATAGATAAGGAGCCTTATTGTGAACTGAAATAGATGCAATATTTTTTGAGCATATGAAGTGTGATTACAGAATCAAATGCTAAACGCTGCTTCCAGTCTTTGATGTTCCCATCTCTGTCTCTTCTGCAGATGGTAACACAGAAGGGGTAGTTTCTGTAGAGCAGTGGCTGTGGAAAAGTCACAGGCACTGGAAGTTCCAGCACCAAAACCCACGGGACTTAGCAATTGCAAAAGATAAACACCAAAATTGCTGGGGGACGTGGCGTATGCAGGCCAACAAGAACAAATCCTTTTATGCACACCACAGGATTAGCATCGCTTGCTGATAGCGTTCGGGCACAATCGTGGTGGCTGCAGGGGGACTGTCCTCTTTAGATAGAAGTGTTGCATTGCTTAGCCTCCAGTCAGTCCCATGTGCAACGATCACCCCGTTTGATCCCTTTTCTATTAATAGTTTCCCACGATTACACACCAGCATCTCCCCATGCTCACGAGAGCAGCTTTTGAGACATCAAAACAAGGCCATTTTACTTATCTCACTCTATTTAAGAGATTTTAGTGCTGATAGTGCTAACGTTTGATTAGTGCACTGACAGGGAGGAAAATACTAAGCCCGGCTTCACTGAATTCATAATGCCCTCCTCAGGACATGTTTCCTAATTCTGTATTGGATTAGATAACACAGCGCATATTTCCGAGACGTACCATTCACAGGGACACCTGAGTTCTGACGTAAAGCAGCTAGAAAGAAATTCACAGCCTGTGACTTAGCCTGCTGCCATTTAATGGTTGGCTAATAATGTCCTTTCTTTGAGCTATGCTTTTGCTGTCTCCCGCAATTTGTCTTCTGCAACTTCATAAAAACCCAGGCAGCCAATAAAACAGAGGGCAATAACAATAAGTATTTCCTTCCAGCTAATTCGGGATGACTTCCCATAGATGCTCATCATTTGATTTAAGGAGAAACGTTTTTTATTCATTTGAGGATCTTCTTTACGGAAACAGTTTTCTCAATAGCAGCATGCACGCAAATAAGGTTAGTAAAAGTACTTGTTAAGTGTGAACTCTAGCTCAGACTTTATCTAGAATGACAGAGGGTGCTCCAGGGTTTATACAGCAATCAAACGTCCTGCCAAAACCTGCACTCCTCTTTCAACATTGGTTATCTCGTATTCTATGAAACAGGCTCAATAACCTTTGTCCTCCATTCCGACTCATAATTCAAAGTGCAACCAACATTTGCAAAGTACATCCAGCTCAGTGCCAGAGTGGTCAGATTTGCCTGGCAACCTCTGGAGCCGTGTCCACAGCCATCGATTGCCTCTGGCAGCTCCAAAGAGAAATGGTCTTGAGTAAGAAGGGAAGAAAAATAGAAAGGACCTTTCCCATTCCGCTTAATGGACCCCACCGAATTAAACAGATCTTAACAATCGTGGGCTAATTGTGGGATCACAATATATTAACCCGCTCTAATTCTAAAGGGTGCCATTCATGGCTGTTTTACCACAAATGCTTCAATTAGCCATAAAACACACTGGCAAGCGCTCGGTAGTCACACTCCATCTAGTTCCCCTCCTTTCCCTTAGTACTTCAGAGGCATGCCAGCTTTCACCATTCATTCATTATCAGGTGCGTTCTTTTGTTATCAGACAGGTTTGTCTTTGAAATTGTCCTTGCTTTAACTCTTTTATTGAGTTCCACCTAAGCCATTGTATTCCTGAGATATAACTTATGCCACTGATAACAGGTAGCATGGTCCTTTTCTTTTACCCCATAATTTACCCACATAATTAACTTCACTGCAAACTGAAAAATAATCCATCCAATTTCATTCAGGGATCTGAGCGAATACCCCACAGGTGACGAAAGAATTTTTTTAAAAGATAGTAAAATATGAGGTTCGTATTTCCTGTGTGTCTGCAGCCTTGCATCTCCGCCGCGACAGAGAAGGAAAACTCTGCAGGTAATAAAACCTGGAAAGTCAATTACTCAGAGTGAGTTTTACAACCAAAGCCTTGCACAATCACAAGGAAGACATTAAATGAGCTAGAATATATGTGGAAAAAGTTTAAAGTGAAGATTGATGGATTTTTTTTTCTCTTTTTATTCTCTCTAAAACCAAAACAGTTTTTTAAAAACTCACATCTCTGAATATTGTTTTGCCCATTTCAATATTTGTCTATAGTTTGACTAATTCTTGCTGTGACACAAACAAGGTTTTTTTATGCCATTCAGAACTGGATTATGAATGCCTTTTGAATTTCAGTTCAAATTCAGAATTTGAATAGAGGTGGTGGTAAGCAGGATGGAGAATTGTAGAATTGGAAATAAGAAAATCTTATAACTGTACATTTTAACTTAAAAACACTGGTTGAACAAAGCCTCATCTGAAAGTTTTGAAAAAAGATTAAACAAACGTTTAAGGTTTATAGGCTTTATGGAAAGAGAGTGATTAGTTTACCTCTGATTCCACAGCTAATAAATCCAAGTAACGTGCTGCATTATGTGTGCTTGGCCTGGTCATCATAGCATTGTGGGTAGGAATAGAGAGAGAAACATGGTACAGAGCACTGAATATGACACTAATTTAATTCATGGACAGCAAAAATAAAATAAAAAGACCACCATACCTAAGGAAAGGCACACATATTGACATTAACAAAAACATTCCAACGTAAGCCTCCCTCAATAAACCTAACCAGATTGTGTCACAGTATACGTAAATGGCACAGCAGTCATATGTCATACTCAAAAATAGGATTCTGCCAGTGGAATCACTAGAACTATTTCAAACCTCATTTCCCCCGCAAATGATCCTGCAAGCTGGGCACCGAGGCATGCCTGCTCCAGAGGCAATGATCACAGAGAGACGGAGTATGGCAAAGATTAACTTTTCATAACCCTCACCAACATTACCACCCCCTTGACACTGTCTGAACACCACGACCAGAAGCTTGAACAGGTACCAATCAAACTCATCAGCAACAAGAGCCATTGCTTATTTTATCATGTAAGCAATCGGAATAATGCAAGGAAATATTCACACCTGCCTTGTTTGGTTCGATTGAATCGAACTCTAGTTCGTTTCCCCTCCCCTTGGTGCGGACCTTTTGGGCAGGTGTGAATACAGCAATCGAACTCGGGAGCGGACCAAACAACCGAACCGAGAACCCAGCTGAAGAGGTGGTCTCGGTACGGTTCCAAACGAACTCTGGTACGGTTCGTTTACGGTGTGAACATGAACCGACCCAATTGCAAGAAAGCACTGCGCCTTTGAGTTAACAGGCTTCCGTAGTCGGAGTTGCGTTATGGGAAAGTGATCTGTTGTAGCCTACTACATTTGATAAAATGAGTCGTGGTTTGACCTGGAGCTTCGAAGAGACGAGCTGCCTTATTAAAGGGATACTCCACTTTTTTTGGAAATAGGCTCATTTTACAACTCCCCCAGAGTTAAACTGTTAAGTTTTTACCGTTTTTGAATCCATTCAGCCGATCTCCGGTTCTGGCGGTACCACTTTTAGCATAGCTTAGCATACATCATTGAAGTGGACAAGACCATTAGCATTTCTAAAGAAAAATGACCAAAGAGTTTTGATATTTTTCCTTTATCATTACGCCTGCTGCTCTCATGGTACGGCATTGAAGTTTCTTGATTATTACGCAGGAATGAGAGTATAGTTCTTAGCCATACCAGCCTAGAAAATCGCAACTTTTCATTTTCCGTCGGTCTTAGTGCACGATGTAACTACAGAAGAGTCAAGTTTTAAATAGGAAAAATATCAAAACTCTTTGGTCATTTTTTTTTTGAGAAATGCTAATGGTCTTGTCAACTCCAATGATGTATGCTAAGCTATGCTAAAAGTGGTACCGCCAGAACCGGAGATCGGCTGAATGGATAAAAAAACGGTAAAAACTCAACAGTTTAACTCTGGGGGAGTTGTAAAATGAGCCTATTTCCAAAAAAAGTGGAGTATCCCTTTAACATTTGGGCAGATGCCCATGTAGCACAGCTGCCCATGTAGCACAGAATAACACAAAATTAGTAAAAGAACAAATATTGCAGTACAAAATATCTCCATGCTGAGCCTTTTTTGCACTTCCTGATTTCCCTACTTGAGAATCCTTGTCCAATGAATGGACGACCTAAGCACACGTGTGGTTTTGTTTACAAATTTTGGTTCACTTGCAAAAAGAGCAGTGTGAAAGCGAACCATACCCAAAAAAAAAAAAAAAAAGGTATTTGGTCCGGACCAAAGCAAGTGAACTATCGGACTTTCCTGGAATACACCCTAAAATATAATTGCCAATTTATATGTGGTTGCAAGTGCCCATGACTTGATAATCGGAACCACAAACACTTTCTACTGAGAGATAATTGCTCTTACAAAGAGAAAGAGAAAAGTGAAAGAGATGACAGGGACTACAACAAACTGACAATGTAAATGGATGCACTAAACATGAAGAGAGAAAGGGGAGTTTACATGCTGTTTCTTAGCAGTGGTGCAACAGATGGTCCACAGCTCTGTTTCTAATGCAATTAGAATAAACGTAGTTTTCGGTGCTCAGACATATTGATGCACTACTTATTTTAGAAACTTGTCC